GAAGTCAAATCACTATTCGTCGCGCATTTTTTGGTTGGATATAGGTTGAAAAAAAAACCTAGAAAAGGCTTCTGCTCCACGATAACTTGACGTGTTTGGTAATTTTTCTCCAAATTTGTTCACCGTGTATTAGGCAATCAAGGTAAACGAAGTTGCCTCACTACCGATGTGTCGTTGAACTGTTCCGCTGCGAATTAATCCGCACTATTAGTAATGTTCGGCACAATGCTGAAGACTTGAATACACATCGTATCCGAAGGGATTTGAATAGCGGAATCGCGTTCCTATTGATACTCATTCAGCGTCTCGTATTTGTGACCTTTGGCAACCATCTGTGATAATAGACCTTGCCGAAAACTTTTAACGCACTATCAGTTTATAGTGGAACGGAAAAAAACCAAATTTGACGTCAGTGTCAAAAATCAAATATTGTTAATCCAATTAATCGGCATAGTTGAATGGAATATATTGGCATTCAAACGTTGTGAATTACGCATACCATTAAAAATCTAAATGATCAATCTATGTCAACATATTTGTTAACCACCAAATTATTGATTTCCTGTGAATACTCAACGAGTGTCGAGCACATACTCTGATGTATTATTCTCGTACCGCTTCATACATCGAGTGTATTGTTAATTATCCTATTTTATCTATTGGGATCAACCCTCGATCACTCGCTCCATGAGCGCGGTGCAATAAATTGTTAAATACGGATTTATATCACAATCATGAACACTTCTATATTTTGTTAAACATTGATACTTTACCAGTCGAGTTTCTTCTTATTCACAATTCCACAATTGATCAATTATTCACACTTTAATTCTTCGCTTATTGACAATTCTTTAGTTTTTTTCACAAACTTCACAATTCAACTATTACTCACTATTACTCAATTCAGCTCCTGTTTAACTTATGATTTCCTTAATCGTTCCGACTTCACACTTGCACTAGATGTTGACAATTTCAGTTTCTTTTTTACCTCTCAGCTCGGTCAAGGACCTATGGGGTATCACCAATTTTAAGGGTAGAGGGGGTTCAACGAATCACTTTGAAAGGAACCCGAAAATTCATCCGGAGGGCGGCGGTCATTGAAGGTCAAGAGAGAGGGGGTGACGCGCCACCATCAATGGGAATTTTGCTAGTCCAGGTAAAGAGGTCTCGCACCTCACTTCAACCGTCGGAGAACGGAAGGGAGTAAGTCGTAAATCAAAAGGAAAGTAAAAACTACCAAAGTGTTTTGGCAGAAATAAATTGGGCAGTGTCTATTCACACGCTCCACGGTAACTTTAACCGTGGATATTCAGGACGTTTGCGACGATATGGAGATAGTAGACTAGTAAACAATTTTCTCGAATACGAATATCAGTATAGATTAACCCAAATAAAAAATGAAATAAATAATTGACTAAACGCAAATAAAAGATGAAATGAATGGTTTTTTACATTTTATGTGAACGTTTTCTTAACGGTTTGGTTACAAATAATTACATTACAAATAACGGAATGGTTTTTTACATTTTATGTGAACGTTTTCTTAACGATATTCATATTTGTCTAATGGGGTCCGAGTGCAGGAGTGGGTGCCGAAATATAGTGCGAATAATTTTAAGGGTGATTTCCCAACCAGGGGAGACTCCTACCTGAGTTGGCACAACTCTGGTTTTCAACTCTGAAACCAGAGTTGTGCCAACATTGTCCAGTCGGCTCTAGAAGTCTCCCCTGATTGAAAAATCATCCTTAGAGACATTCGCACGCCATTTCGAGACTCCTTTCATTTGAGCCCAAAAAAACATTCACATCTTGTCTGACGCCTCTGCTGTGAAACCTGGTTTTCAGCTCTGATTTTTAATTGAAAACCAGAGTTTATAACAGAGATGTCAGCCAAGATATGAATATTTTTTTGGGCTAAATGAAAGAACGGGTCGAGAAATGGCGTGCTGACGCCTCTAAAGATGGTTTTGAAATAGGGGAGACTCCTAGACCCCACTGGACAATGTTGTCACAACTCTGCTTTTCGACTGAAAACAGACATCATTTTTAGAGACATTTGTCATGTTTAGAGACATTAGCACGCCATTTCTCGACCCGCTCTTTCATTTGAACCTAAAAAATCATTCACGTGTAGTCTGACATCTCTGCTACAAACTCTGGTTTTCAACTCTGGTTTTCAATTAAAAAACATTCACATGTAGTCTGATATCTCTGCTACAAACTCTGGTTTTCTAATTGAAAACCAGAGTTTATAACACAGATGTCAGCCAAGACATGAATGTTTTTTTGGGCTCAAATGAAAGAGCGGGTCGAGAAATAGCGTGCTGATGCCTCTAAAGATGGTTTTGAACCAGGGGAGACTCCTAGATCCCACTGGACAATGTTGTCACAATTGCGCTTTTCGACTGAAAACAGACATCATCTTTAGAGACATTTGTCATGTTTAGAGACATTAGCACGCCATTTCTCGACCCGCTCTTTCATTTGAACCTAAAAAATCATTCACATGTAGTCTGACATCTCTGCTACAAACTCTGGTTTTCTAATTGAAAACCAGAGTTTATAACACATGTCAGACAAGACATGAATGTTTTTTTGGGTTCAAATGAAAGAGCGGGTCGAGAAATGGCGTGNGAATAATTTTAAGGGTGATTTCCCAACCAGGGGAGACTCCTACCTGAGTTGGCACAACTCTGGTTTTCAACTCTGAAACCAGAGTTGTGCCAACATTGTCCAGTCGGCTCTAGAAGTCTCCCCTGATTGAAAAATCATCCTTAGAGACATTCGCACGCCATTTCGAGACTCCTTTCATTTGAGCCCAAAAAAACATTCACATCTTGTCTGACGCCTCTGCTGTGAAACCTGGTTTTCAGCTCTGATTTTTAATTGAAAACCAGAGTTTATAACAGAGATGTCAGCCAAGATATGAATATTTTTTTGGGCTAAATGAAAGAACGGGTCGAGAAATGGCGTGCTGACGCCTCTAAAGATGGTTTTGAAATAGGGGAGACTCCTAGACCCCACTGGACAATGTTGTCACAACTCTGCTTTTCGACTGAAAACAGACATCATTTTTAGAGACATTTGTCATGTTTAGAGACATTAGCACGCCATTTCTCGACCCGCTCTTTCATTTGAACCCAAAAAATCATTCACATGTAGTCTGACATCTCTGCTACAAACTCTGGTTTTCTAATTGAAAACCAGAGTTTATAACACAGATGTCAGACAAGACATGAATGTTTTTTTGGGTTCAAATGAAAGAGCGGGTCGAGAAATGGCGTGCTGATGCCTCTAAAGATGGTTTTGAACCAGGGGAGACTCCTAGACCCCACTGGACAATGTTTTCACAACTCTGGTTTCCAACTGGATTGCAAGAGTTGAAAACCAGAGTTCATAGCAGAGATGTCAGACAAGATGTGAGTGAGAATCTACCGTAAATCCACGGTAAAATTTACCGTGGAGCGTGCGAATAGACACTGCCAATAAATTAAACGAGCACTGGTTCAATATGAATAGATTTTATAACTCTCAATGGTCCCAGGGAAATGAGTGAATACCCGTGAACTTTCAGGCCTTGGGGACTGGCAAAAACCGGGATTAAAACCGTGAAAAAAAGCGACAGAATATTTCCAAAAGTCTGAATAGATTTATAACACTCGAAAATCTAGGAGACAATTTACTCGGAGGAAAATGAACACGTGGCTAGAAAAATATAGCTGTGGCGAGATTGCTTCATAGATCTCCTGAATACGTTGAGGTTGAATACGAAGTTGTGGAAACCTCTTGAAATTTTAAACCACATGAAATTACATGATTGATTTGATATTGAAAAATTTCGATAAATTTTCATAGTGATCATTTTGCAGTCAAATTTCCACTGACATCAAGAGATGGTGTTTAGGGATTGTAAATGTTCACTAATTTTTTTTTTTTTTATGCTTATTTTATATCGCTTCGAGTCTGATGAGACTATATGGCGATTGATCAAGACTTTAAAAATGGTTAGATCTCACCATTCTACCCGGCCAGGAATCGAACCTGGAACCTATCCGTTGTGAGGCAACGGCCTTAACCACTACGCCAGGCCACCGGGAAATGTTCACTAATGATCATCGCTTCCCAAGTATACTTATAGTGAATGACAAATAGTTTTAAAAAACCGTTTTTATTTAAGCTTTTTCAACAAATTCAGAGCAAATACATTATTGTGCAATATATAGGTGTATTCAGTGATTACTTGAATGATATTTTAATTTTCAAAATTAAAGTTGAAGATCAGTAGTAACACTTGAACATAGATAGCAGCTGGTAATAGTCTTTGTTTGCAACACTTGGGACTTCGTTATGAGGTTCGGTGAAAAGTCAAATTGTTTTATGACGGTCGTGGCCAGGTAGCAAAAGTGTTTCGGACACTTCTTTATTGCTCTGCCTGCACCCTTTCACTAAACAACCTAGAGTGCGATCGGTTAATTTTCTTCTTTCTCCGAGGATTATTTTAATAAATTATTCAAATGCGAATGGCTTTCGTGGTGTGATCGGTATTGGTCGAAATAATAATGTCGGTGATTAGTTCTCTCGAGAATGTAAATTTAAGGGAGAAATCACTGGACCTCTCATCGGACAAAGAATTGCTCCTACACGGAGGCAAAAGTTGGGGATAAATTGCCGAAGAGGTCAATTTACGATCCTTTACTTATTTCAGAATATGTTTGAGGACATAGCCATCGTGATGTGAATATTTTTTCAACAAAATGGTGAATGTCATCTTCACCGGCGATTTCATGGGAATAACTCCATAAGAATAATTTTCAAAACTGCGCTGCTAGTAAATAGAATTCGAAAAAACTGAAAAAAATCTCATTGCCTCGTCATATGGTTTACATATGGAAGAGAGCGTTTGAATGGAATTTCTTGCATTTTTGGAACTCAATGGGAATCATGGGACTCAGGAATGCTTTAGCATTTGAAGGTATAACTAAACACACAGAAGAAACAAATGTTTTGTCACTATCATTTATTCTTACATTACAAAGAACGTTTTCTCATTTTTCATCTCCTCTACATAAGAATGAGTCTCGTCGGTATTTCTTTTGCTTCAATTATCAAAAGACTAACGAAAGAGCCAACAAACAAACAAACAAACAAATTGTTGTACGTATTTTTACAAGGCGACTCGCACAAAGACCACTTCCACTCCATCTCTCGAATCCCCGAATAAATATATTTAGCAGAAAAATAATCGTAAGAAATAAGAGAATTAAAACAATAAATCGAATTGAAGATTTTCCAAATCATGAGTACAACGCTGAAAAGGTTTTACCTTCTCTAATATTTTCATTGAAATACGTCAGGCATTCTTCACATCAATATATTCAGGGTAATCCACGATTATTCTAAATTACAAACAAATAAAAGAAATATTAATTCTTAAATCTCAATAATCGCTTCTACGTTATAATGATGTAATATCCTACGTTAATGTGAATGAATTATACTTTTTGACGTTTTTTGTAAAATTTCTTTGAGTATCAGATTCTTAGAATGAAAACGTTGAAGAAAATTACAATCGATTTCTCCAATTAACTCAATGACATTCAAGAATGTTTAACAACACAAAAAAAAATTATAAAAATATGTAAAACAATGTGAGCCGACGAGATTCAAATTTCATTATTTGATTTAAATACATCTTATGAACACTATTTCTCGTGGTAGTAATTGTTTCAAATAATTCGAACACATTTCTGCAATATTTCGTTTCAATTCCCTGGAATGAGATTGAAAATAGTGGAAAAGATGTGGATTTTAGTCAATTTATTGTTGAATTATTTTATCCAATTGGCGATATGTTCAGCCGCAGATATTCTTCAGGGAAGCGCAGCAGCGCCTTTTCACAGATTGTAGATGGCACAGCCACATTCTCAGCCTGTCAATCTGCTCTGCGCAGTCTGACGCCACGTCGATGCACTCACCGCCCTCTGTTTCTGGAAAGGACATTGAATTGTTGAATTAACGATTCATTTTATTAGATTCAAATGTTCTCCATTATGACAGAAGGAGAGACGCAGTGGCATGAGATAGTGACGTAAATCAATTGGAGTATTGTTTATTAATTAATATATACGCTGATGAATATCGACAAGCAACAGACGTCGACAGATCAAGTATCAGGTTTTTCATCACGCTGTGACGAAAAGTGAACTTTTCGGCACGCTCCGCGTGCCTAAAAGTCCAATTTCCGCCACATTGTGATGAAAAATATTGTTCGTAACTCGTGAAAAAATGTTTTTTAGCTCGTGGGATTATATATAAACCTCCCACTCGCCAAAAAACACTTTTTTGCACTCGTTACGAAATATACTATTTCATACACATAAATGATTTGAAAAACGAAATATGTCATTTTCAATCGCTTCGTAGTGACCTGGGGTCGTTTGTGGACCTTTCAAGGGTTTCGTGTTACGATTATCAAGCGCATGTCATTCTCTGCTGCAAGAAGATTATAAAGTCAGTGTTATGTTGAGAAGAACAATTCTATTGTGAAGTGATGAAACAAGATAAGCTAATTGTATTTGGTTTTTGGGAAATGTCTCAATATGATATAATGACGAAATTTTTGTGAGAAAAGGTTTTGTTGAGCAAAGTCAGAGCTATAATGAAGGCTCTTGTATAGATTTCGCTCATCTAGATTCATTCGGTGATTGGGTCGACCCTCCCTAGCTCTCCACTTTCGGGGCTCGAGATTCGGAGAACAAAAAGCTAGAGGTTGCCACTTCCCTGTGCGTAAGGGGTGTCTTAGGACAGAGACACTGCGACTATTCGGGCGAGAACGCAATAGCCCCCTCCATGTCTCAAAACATATTTCCCTTTTGGCGCCGTCTGAGGGGCGTGACGGCGTACACGTAGTGGGGGCGATATTGCAGACATTATACATGAAGTGGAGAGGTAGGGAGAGTCGACTGTATTTATCAAAGTATGATCTTCAATGTTAATTTTACATTTTTGATCCTTCTTATGAGTTTATGAAACACATCTCGTATTCAAGAGAGAGCTACATAAAACAACCTTCATACAAGTTTACTATCTATTAAAGCATAACATTTAAATGTAATGCTTTATTTTTACAATGAGCTTGAAAATTGAAATATCAATGATCGCTCCACACAGAAAAATCTATTTTAATGAATCAGATATTCCACGAACGATTGAAATACATATTGACATGGAAGAGTTACTTAAATTTGAAAAAAAAAAACTCGGTCTGAAAAAAACTCGGTCAAGTCTTATCTTGTTCCACTTCACACTCGAATTATTGCTAATGAATATATAGTAATATAGTATATTTGTGGTGAAGTCTGTCCAGACGTGGAATAGTGTCAGATTACAGCCAGAAGATCCCAGAAAATTTCGTTGAATTTTTATAGAGAAAAGGCCAGAGCATGAGAGAAAATTTCGTAACAGATGTTCGTATTTTAGAATATTTTTGTCAATTTTATTGAATTTTCTGTCATAATTGTTGTCTTACCACGACCTGCAGTTGATTGTGACACCGAGCTCAAAAAACTGTACGGTGTATTTCTACTAAATGTACTGTAATGTGGACTGGGTATGATTGGACTCGAGGTCGTAGAGTACACGTTGGACAAATTATTTAAATAATTTCCTCTCTTGGTCGTTGAGATATCGTGTCTATTGTAGTATTTGTCGTAATTTTTTATTTTATTGTATCCAGTTGGACGCTGTGGAATGGGTGTCGTTCGCGTACTCATACTGAATGATTTGGGACGTTGGGTTGAGGAAGAGGGTGGACGACTGTACGTCGTATCGTCGAGGGACACTGATGTGTGATCACTACTCTTGTACTGTGTCGTTGATTGGGGTGTAGGTTGGGTTGATGTGCCCCATGGGTACCTGTGTAGCATATTATTCTGCATTTTTAACATAGAACATCATACACTTCTTAAGGATATCCAAGTAATCTGGCTAGGTTTTTTCTAGCGAAATTCTTTTAGTTTACTTCAGTAGCCGAACATCAGAGCTTTCATTTGAGCCCCATTTGACCCAAAACTTCCGGACATTTCACAATGCTTTTATTATTTAAACTTTGCAAGTATGAATTTGAATGCCGATATTGAACCGTTAGAAAACATTTTAAAAATCTGAAAAAATTAGAAAGTTTTTTTTTGGAAAAAGATTGATGAAGTAATTAAAAAATTGCAATTTTTGAAAATTACGATCGCCGATTTAAATTGTTTGCTATTTTTTAAAGTATTCTATGAAAATGTGAGGATAGGAATTGAATTTATGGGCATTGGGTCATTATTCGAAAAAATATATCAATTTTAAAATTCTCCCTAGAAATTGAAAAATAAAAAATTCTGTGTTCGGGTTGATCACGTTTCTCTTTCTCTTTTCACTTTCTTCAATCAGAATTAGACCATAGAAAGAAAATACATTGATTTTTCTTCATTATGAAAGAAAAAACGTTTTGAAATTTTCAAGATTACAAAATCAATTTTTTAGATTTATTTCTGATTTTCCTTCTCTGCATTTTAAACTGCTGGGGCACAAATGGCGTCACTCATGGCTCGTAATAACTACTTGAAAAAATATTTTTTTTCAATTACAATGTTTTAATTGGGGAGCACTTTCATTTCCTCATGTAACTGTAATTATCGGATTCATTTGGCGATGAAATTACTCTGACTATTTTCATGATCATCCAACAAATGATGACTAGCATGTGATATTTGCAAATGAACAGATATTCACGCACGAAAAAATTTAATAGAAAAACCTATCGAATTCGATTTTTCTATATAACTTATTCTTTTCATATATTTTCTACAGAATTTGTTCGACTCAAATTTTCTAAGTTTTTTTCATTCCATTTTTCTTTTCTTCTTATCAAAAAAATCAAACGAAAAAACTTAGAAAATTTGAGCCGTGGAAATTCTATTGAAAATATCTCAATAGCATAAGTTATATAGAAAAATTGAATTCTCTTGACTTTTTCTACTGAATATTTTCTATTGAACATTTCAATAGAATTGGCCAAAAACTAATAGAACAGTTCAATAGAAATTCAATAGAATTTTCTAACGAATTCGATAGGTTTTTCTATTAAATTTTTTCGTCCGTGTTAAATGTCCTTCTATCAAATCAGTCAATTTCCATCAAGCAAATCTGTTCCACGCCATCACATATTCTCCCGTGGAACATATAGTTTTTCGGCAGAGTTAATTTTTTCTCTCAGTCTATCGTCCTTGATTACTTTGTTCCCACAGCAAAAGCTAATTTGATATTTTTTCCGTATAAATAAAAAATTGCCATCAATTGAATTCAAAATATATTCACAAAATATACCTGTAATCTGTGCTATTATACTGCGCATACGTTGGCCGACTTTGAGAGGCACTATTGTATATGCTGTCACGCCTGACATACGTAGGAATATTTTGTGTATAATCCGGAATAATGTTTTCATGCTCAGCTACACATTTTCCGTTCAAACAATACTGAAAGTAAAAATAATTGATTGTTACGAATAAACTGTTGTAGTCCATCAGTCATTAATATTATGATCATGAGCGGTGATTACCTGTCCATCTCCACAGGGAGAGCCCTCGGCCGCGGGTCTGTAGGCAACGCAATAGCCGGAGCCCGCATCGAAGCAGAATAATTGTGCGCATACCCTGTCATCTTTCTGTTAATAATTAATGAATGAATGGTAAGGATTGAATGAAAGACGAACGGTAGCTGATAATTGCCGAGTTCCAATCCTACTTACGAAACATGCGCTCGTGCCACGATCCTTACGACACTGTGCATCCAATGATAATAATTTTCCAGGCAAGACCCTGGGCAGCGCCTCGTCCTCGTGGGGTGCGTTGTATAAACAGGTAGCTGTGTCACCGCTGTAAGTCATTGAATTGTTAATCTAGTAATTATCGTTTCATTCACGTAGCAAAAACCGTTGTTAGTTTTCATTAAAAGAATCTTAATTACGAAAATCTGTCGGGATAGGATTGGGTGAGAAAAAATGATCGTAATATGTGAAATTTTCGTTCATGCTCACAAAAAAACCTAAACGTAATTTACGCTTAACGCGTTTTTTTTTTTCGTCATGAATTAAAATCGGAATTTAGACATGAAAAAGGCGTATTTTATATTTGAATAAGCATCTTTCAAGCTGAAGTAAATTACGATCTTAATGGAAAAGGATTCTACGATTTACTTATGCGCTTTTTACGAAAAAGGCATCGCATTTTTAGCTTGAAATCACCTTTTTTTCGTTGTTAATTACGGACAAGTAAACATGAAATACGGAAAAAATCATCGTAATTGAAGAATATGATTTTGCATAAAAGTTACATAAAAAAGTTCTAATTCTCAGGACTTTTTGCGTTAACTTAGCATAAGTGAACAGATTGAAAATATTCTCGTTCTTGAATTGATGATTTTTTTGTCATTCAGTTGGTGAAACACCGCTTACGCACGACGTGAAAAACATATCGTTCGATACACGGCCGTGAAGAACTTTTCTACCTCATTAGATAACAGAACTCGCCTTCGGCTCGTCTATTAACCTCGTATATGTGGACGTCCGCATGAAAAGGGACCACTTTGTCGATATGGAGTTATGCATACTCTGATAATATTTATAACATTCCGCACATTTTGAGCCCAAAATGATCCTCATAGGGTGACAAATGACGTCACTCGAGCAGATGAAAAAAAACACTTTAGCATGAGTGTAAATGGGAGTTGCTGAGACAAAAACGTGAATATCTCGGTAACTAGAATCGACAAAGTGGTCCCTTTTCATGCGGACGTCCACATATATCCCGAGTCGAGGATTTGGTTTTGATTGGACGTACACAGGTCTTTCAAGATCTGTCCAGACCTAGATGGACCTGGTAAGTCCTAATCACTTCCCCGAGTCGAGGATTTGGTTCTGATTGGACGTACACAGGTCTTTCAAGATCTCTCCAGACCTAGATGGACCTGGTAAGTCCTAATCAGTTCTGCGACGTACTTTTCCAGAGACCATTCGAATCCTCAGTTCTTTTCGGTCCTGAGAAGTCCTCCTCGATGCTACCGAGAACGTGTGATTTTACGAACGGGTGAAGGGGAAGACATGTATGCGGAGGGTTGAAATTTGTAGCCAACGAGGAGACAGGGTTGCAGAATATATTTTAGCCACCCTCATCTCCCCGTT